ACAACCTGCAGAGCACAGCTGCTTAAATTCCCATCCCAAGGATACAACCTGCAGAGCACAGCTGCTTAAATTCCCATCCCAACATCCGTTCACTTATCATCTGCGAGCAGCCACGAGCACGAGCAGCAGAGACCGGCTCTTCACAGAGAACAGTCATCATTTCGCCAAGTAAGCCAACTTCCTCACATCCCAAACAATACTCAACAGAATAAAGGAATCGTCCACATGATCACGTGACCTGGCTTCTACCCTTTTTAACGTTGTGTCCTGCAGGTGAAGCTTAACCTCATTTTCATGTACTGAATCTAACATACCGTCTATGTAGGAAGCATTTTAACAAAATCTAGCTTTATAAAGCCATTCAGTTCACAATGGAACAGCAGCCTGAATACATAAGAAACTTTATATTGCACTGATATCACACATCCAGTGCAGTCTGTGTATAAAATATCAGAGCAAAGTAAACATTCAGTATATTTGTAAAACAGTGTATGTAGCATATTAAATCAGCTTTGGTACAATTCATAATATATGCCTGGATGTCTTTCTGATTGGATTTACCCGTCATATTGGATTATGTAATAACAAATGACCAAATGATCACTATTGATGCAAAATAATTACATTCAAAGGCCTGCAATTACCGCCCTCTCGCTGTAACATTTTTCTCATGATAATAACAAGGGGACGAATTACCATATGTCAGCCTTAAGTTTGTTGTGACATGAGACACAGATAAGAATGTCTTCCAAAGGCACCCTCCTGGGGCGGGGCCAGAGAGGGACTGGTGCCAGCTGAAATCTGATTGGCCCACGGAGAGTCCCCGGCCCTGTCACTCACCAATTCAAAACATATCATTGGCTAACGATAAGGCTGCCCCCAGTGTATGAACTAAAGCCCCTCTTACGTTATGTCCCTACCTTAACAAAAATCTTAGAATGGCATAAGCACCCCCCACCCATTGAATTTTTAAGATGTAGCTGAATTATTCGACTTAATCTATTAAATCTGCTTTTCTACATTTAAGGACTTGCAACCTACATTTTACATTTGTTCTTATATCTGTGCCCAGAACTAAATACTAATTCTGCATGTCTACTTGAGACACACTTCGGTTTTGACGGCAAACATGTGACAAAGCTTACTGGGAATCCCTCTGCAGAATTAACAGGCACCGAGCGGGAAAGAGGTCAGGATGACAGAAACCATACACGGCAAACATAAAGGGGTGCTTCGGCAGGCGTGAGGGAGGGTCTAAAAATAACCGAGCGGGGTTGCATCAGGAGTACAGGCTCTCGGGATCGCTGTCAAGGATATTCAGGTCATGGGGGTGAGGAAAAGAGAGAATTAATTCATGACCCAAATCAAGGGCAGAAACTAGTGGATGCAAAGGTGCTCATTATAATAATGTGTTACGATAAAGGAGTTATTCCTTTTAAAAAACACAATGGACAGTCTACCGTCAAAACAGCATTATTAGGTTAATATTCTTCAGAGGCTGAGCACACATTGTCTTCTTCATGTGCTCCCTCTGTCTATCAATGACTCCCTCTGTCTATCTATGACTCCCTCTGTCTATCAATGACTCCCTCTATCTATGACTCCCTCTGTCTATCTATGCAATCCAATCTTTTTCCTTCCGCGAGAGGCTGGCCATAATGGGCTCGTATCGGTCCATCTTTCGCCATCATGTGGGAAAGAAATGCGCCTTTTTGTTTGAATATTTCTTCCAGCCTAGATTTTTTTCACGGACAGTCATTGCTGTGCAACCAGGAGTCTCCTCCGTCCACACTGGACGGTAGCTTAGGAATCGTTTATGTCTAATCATTTTCATCAGACTATCAATGCATTGCATGTTATCTGTTGCCTTCTTGCACAAACACAATCGCTGTTTTATTTGACTAAGTGTCCTTGGTCTCTGTTAAATTCGAATCACCCAGTACCTACATTCAGCACTCTTTTACCTGTAAATTACTGCAGGCTCTCTTACTGAAACGGTATTTAATGCCTCAATGCAGGTAGATCTCACTTTCCGAGCTCCTGATTTACGAGTTTATATCTTTATGAGAACTGTCTGCAGCAAAAATAAATTTCTGAAAATTTACATATAACCCGTGGCAAATAAGGTTTGCAAATAACTTTGCTTTGTGAAATATCTGACTGCGCATGCCCGATTTGTACCCTGTATGTCTGCACATGTGCAGCATGACATTTCACAGCATATTTTACAACAGTGTCCGATTTGTACCACTTCGTTTCACAACCTAACCTGATCCCATTTATACACCAGGTTCATTTTACACACCGATTGTGAGCCACACTACCAGCTCAGAATGGGACACATGAAGAAGAAAAAACACCCCATCTACTGAAAATCAATGGGACCAAAGCTGACTGTGAATATTACAGTTTTAGCAATAAAGTGTTTCTTGTTTTTGTTTTTCTCCAAGGATTTTTTTTGTTTAAATGTGCATATTTTTTTGATTAAATATTTATTCTAATAATGCATTTGTGTTGCCTTTATTCGGTAAAAATCTATGATACAAATTTTTTTACTGGAACCAAAGTCATAATTTTTATAAAATTTCTATGCGAAAATGCGTCCCGCTTTACAAGTTTTCGACAAACGAACGATAATTTGGAACAAATTAGCTTGTAAAGTCGAGAACTACCTGTACTTAATTGATGCCTTAATAAAGCCTTTTGAGCTTTCTGCTAATTATTCACCCCAGGGCCCAGCCAAGTGTCTCTGCGGCCATCTTACTTGTTGTAGAGGACGATGTCGGGTAGCCATATGTCATGAGAGGGGACACGGAGCTTCTTGATGCCCTCATATTCTTGGGGGTCCCACGTCAAACGGTAGTCATTCCATTCCTAAGGGGGTAAAGGACAGCAAACCAAGGCCACACAGTCATCAGAGACACAAACTCAGCAGTCACTTTATTATCTTGTTAACGCAAGCAGCGGTGTCCTCTGTATGCTGAGCAATACCTTATTAAAGAGAGGTGAGAGGAGAATGAGCAGACTCATTAAAGCTAACAGGAAGGCCACAAGTGTTAGAGTAATGGCTCAGTACAGCAGTGGCTGTGTGGAAAGGCTAGCTCTTATGTTATCATGTTAGCCTGAATTTTATCATGTTAACCCATATGCTGTCATGTTAGTCTGAATTTTATCATGTAAGCCCATATGCTATCATGCTAGCCCTTATGCTATCATGCTAGCCCTTATGCTATCATGTTAACCTGAATTTTATCGTTAGCCCATATGCTATCATGCTAGCCCTTATGTAATCATGTTAGCCCTTATGCTATCCTGTTAGCATGAATTTTATCATGCTAGCCGGCCGTTATGTAATTATGTTAGTCCTTACGCTATCATGTTAGCCTGAATTTTATCATGTTAGCCCATATGCTATCATGTTAGCCTGAATTTTATCATGTTAGCCCATATGCTATCATGCTAGCCCTTATGTTATCATGTTAGCCCTTATGCTATCATGTTAGCCTGAATTGTATCATGTTAGCCCATATGCTATCATGCTAGCCCTTATGCTATCATGTTAGCCTGAATTTTATCATGTTAGCCCATATGCTATCATGTTAGCCCATATGCTATCATGCTAGCCCTCATGTTATCATGTTATTCATGGCAGGGTATCAAGAGAATGGGGGTGGGAGGATCCCAAACCCAGCACTGGCCTGGTTCAGCCACACGTTCGTGGTCATGATCTGCTCCCTCTCATTCTGCAACAGACAAGGCAGACAGCGTCAAGTGCCCCCTGCTGATCACAATCATCACACGCATGCTTGACAGATTATGGCACACACAATATGCTTCTGATTAACATCATAAATGTAGTTTTATTTGCATTCCATTTCCATACCAGTTCTACATTTGAAAATGCAAATCAAACCCATATCTAACAGAGATGCATGATTAATTTATGACATGTAGAGTAATAACATGTCACCCGTTCACACCAGGCTACCATCACTGGTTGTTTAGATGCCAATTATACTAAATCAAGACTCAACTAAACACAGCAACTAAACACGGCACTTGCTCTGATTGTCTCTAAAGGTGAAGAGACATACAGGCAGGACAGATTCAAACACACCACGCACACATCCAACTAAAGCTCTAATTTGTTCTTTCAGGGCTATTAGACGATGACCAAACGTCTACTCTGGGCCTGAAGGTTAACGGTCTAGCACGGATTTGTACATTTAAAGAGACAGTACTGTATTTAACAAGTGTTTCCTGATACTGACAGGAAAGAGCAGGAAACTTAAAAAAAAATTAACCAAATCTGATAAATTCTTTGTCTTAGAGGAAGTTGGTGTAGCTGTAAGGAACATTTCACCTGCACATCAGAGTGAGCTGACTGCGGCTGATTGGTTTGAGCAAGGTGGTAAAAATGACTGAACGACAAAATAATGTGTCCCTTTAACAAGGCAATGGGGGCTTTTATTTATGGAACGGCGGGGATTTCCGTCACGCAAGATCAAGAATCCCATGATGAAGACGAAAAACTGACCACACTGATGAGCTGGGACAAGGAGACCTGGATGGCGACGGTGACCAGCTGGCTCCTGTTCGCTGCGGGTCGGAGGAGCTTGTTGTAGTGCTGGGGACCCAGCAGGTGGCTGAGCAGCCTCTCCTCTGCGTCGGAGGCCAGGCTGACTGGGGAGAAGCACGGCACACTGGACTGAGACCCATGCCGGACATTCTGATGAGAAGGTTGACTGGGGAGAAGCACGGCACACTGGACTGAGACCCATGCCGGACCTTCTGATGAGAAGGCTGACTGGGGAGAAGCACGGCACACTGGACTGAGACCCATGCCGGACCTTCTGAAGAGAAGACTGACCGTCTTC